TTAAACAGAAAACGGCTGCAGAAGCTATCAGGATGTAATGCAGCCTGAAGCTTTGCCAAGGCCCACTTAGAGCATAGCTGGACAGAAACCTGCAAATTTATGGATTGCGTCGCCAAGCCTACCATTCAAACGCATTTGTGGGGGATCATGTCCGCAAATGCTGCCAAGAAATAATTACTTTCAAACTGCACTATTCCATCCTTTGCCTCAGTCACATTATAATCTCACAGTTTCATCAAATCTGAACTTCTGGACTTACCTGTTACTAACTATCACAGTCCAAAGGAGGCAAGGTGGCTTTTATGACGTGAATTTACATAAATTGCAATTTCATAACAAGTTTCATACACGGTGTTATCTTTGTACATGTTGTCTACAGCAAAAAAAAATTCCGGAAACCGACTTCAAGTATGGTGCAGAATGCCAAAGACCTCTGCACTAATCCCAACATACAGGTTGATGGTGAGAACCTTGCACTCAAGTACGAACGACTCTTCGTTCTCTTTGCAAGATGCCACACCACATACAATCTGGCACGAAAAATGAGTGACAAGGAGGATAAAACTACTTGGTGAGTGCACATGTAATTCTGTATCATCCGACTCTCTTCAACAAGGATTTCATCTCTTTTGATTTGTTTGTGGTTCTCAGAAGAACCAGAGGTTGTTCTATTTTGAAACTTAAGGTACTTTGAAGTAATACTGTCAGGAAATCCATGGAAGAATTTATTTAAAACTTGATCAAACACTAAAATGGGAATGGATGGACATGTACACTGGATATAGCTTTGTTAACACACTGGTTAATTTGCACTAGGATGAAGTTCTGTTCGGTGCTTTCTCACTTCAGATGGAGACATCAAGGAATACATGCAGTTCTTCAGAACCACTTTCCCTAGTGACAGTGTGACCTCAAGATGCACCTGCTGGAGGAGCATATAGTGCCATGGATTTCCCGCTGGAAGGTTGGGCTCGGGTTCCATGGTGAGCAGGGAGGGGAGTCCATCCATGCCAGATTCAACAAAATCAGGAGTGATGTCCGGGGCTTGACTGATTACGTCAGCATCCTCAAATCCTTTATGTCAACACACTGGGTCAAGACCAACCCTGCATAAATACAAAAAGTTATAATATTACAGAAGGATGAAATGTATAGCACATTCCCAACATTAAGTATTACCATGTAAAGTTATCCAAGGAGGTTGACGTTTAATTGGATTGGCTTTTCAATTAGGCAAGCATACCCGCAGTTTGATTCATTATGAAGAACAAACCTATTTGACACTTAAGTTGGTCAAATTTGTGGAACACTAGGCCCGACATAAGAATAAAAGTTAAGAGATAAGCCTCTTCCAATTTTGCTTCTTCACCCAGCAAATACTGTTTTTCTGTCAATCAACACAGTACACAGACCTGATTAGTGCCATTCCCTGTGATAAATTCTATAGTTTATCTCATAGCCTTTATTAAAAAAGATCAAGCATTTCTGCTCCAAGAAGAAAGGATTTGCAGCCACAAATCTGCCTATAAGTTAGAGTTAGACGAGAGCAGTTAATGTAATTTATAATGCATGACATTGCCATTACATCGGGAAAAATGTTGCAACCGGACTTCACTTCAGGGTTTACACTCACTTTGCCCTATTTCCATGTCGCTCCTAACGACTTCACCCCTAGCCACGTCGTCCCATCCCCACTTCGCCCCATTTCCACTTTGCCACCTATTTTGAGTGTGTTACAAGCCTCTTAAAAACTGGTCGAGAGAGGAGTTCCACTAACGGCATGTAGTTATAGAAAATTTTACGGCATTAAATTAATGTCGCCTGCATTGCCCATTATGGTGAATTAATGCATATGGCTGGACTAGCATCAGGGTTATTTCTCATCCTCCAAGTTTATTTAAAAGCGACACACACAATTCTGTTCATATCGTTTGGGTAATTGTCGATGCAGCCAGACAGCCGTACTTGGGCGATCGGATAAAGCTCGATAAAACACAGAAAATACTGTAGCGTGTCCAACGGGTTGGGCTCCGACGCTAATATAGACACACACACAGCGACAGATCGCCGTTCTGGTCAAAAAATCTCTATTTTATTTCTCTAGCGTTTAACATTTCTGTGTTTTAGACAAGCTCTAGACACAGGCGCGAGGCGGGAAATCCGCGGGCCGTTCGCATACCAGCGGGGCCAGCCAACCAAGTAGATGCGCGTCCAAGCTGGCGCCCCCACCGGCCGGACCGTTCCACTGACGCTACACCACCCCCTCTGAGGACTCTTGTTTGTCCCCGAACGAGGCTGTGCAACCCGACGGGCCAGCCTGAGACCTTCCCGGTCGCCCCTGCGCAGCTTACATGGCAGTGGAATAACAAGTACATGTATTGTGGGTTCAAAAAGTCTTCTCCGCTACCATGAGGGGGGGGGCAGTTCGGAGGAGACTCCGGTCGCCGTGGTCCCCCCCGCGCTTCTTCGTTGCTCTGGGGGACGGACTCCGGTGGGTGGTAGAGGGGGCTCCCGCTGGACCTCTGACCGCCACTGGCTGTGGTGAATCTCACAGAGGGGTGGGTCCATCATGGTGTCTGTGTCTCTGGTGGCCCGCTCCTCCAGTCGCAGGCGGATCCCCCCCCCACATACGTCAGCCAGGAGCCGGGGGGCAGACTCCAGCGGCCCCTGCTCCAAACCAGGGCTGGGGGCTCTACCTCGGTCTGCGTCCCCGTCTCTACTGAGCGACGCAGGGGGACGGCGGCGGCCGCCACAGGGGCCCGGGGCCGCACTGGAAGGCGAATCCGACTGGTCTCGTCGTTCTGGCCAGCCCTGCGACCCCCACCTTCGGCGCCGAAAGGGCACTAGCGCGGGGGCTCACCCGCAGCAACTGACCGGGGGCGGTGACTGCTCCATGGGGATCTCGTCATCCCCCCCCGTCACTGGCGAATACCTCCTGGACGTCAGGATCCTCCGCCCAGACCTGGCAGACGAGGACGTGGTCGCAGTGTCGGTGGTTACGATCCCGCATGTCCGAGCGGTAGAAGCAGTGGCCACACCCCCGCTCACAGGTGTAGCGCCAGGCGGCGAACAGCTCCGGACAAGCCGTCCTCAGGTGTCGCCGCAAGTTGGTCCGCTGGCGGAATTCCCGCCGACCATGGGGAACGGGCCAACCGGTCCATCCTTGGGAGAAAAATAGAGGGAGATTCAGGAGTTAGCGTGGAGCAGAATCGCGCCGGGCGCCAAACCTGCCGCCCACTGTAAGTCACACGCACGCCCCCGCCTCCAGCTCGCAGGGCGATGGCTCCGCCGGCACGCTGCCTCCCTGGCTGCCTATGTCCGAGTTCTCCCTGCTTGACACGCTGCCGCTCCGGCCCCAGGTGTCCCGACTTCGCCCTGTCAATAGGTTCCATTGCGGTCCCTTCGTCAACGAGGGGAGACTGCCCCCGCGGGCAGGACTGAAGGCCGGATCAGCTGGCTCTTGGCCCCCCTGCCTGCGCTGACGCCTCCTCAGCCAAGGCTCCGCAGGCTGCACGCTCCCACCATCCAAGCTGCACGTCGCCCAGGTAGCGCTTGAGCCAATTGCGATGCACGATCTGAGCCTTCGCTCGGGCGGTACGCTGCACTTTGCAGGTCACGTTGTTGAGGCGTTGTAGCACCGCGAAGGGTCCGTCCCACCACCACTGCAGCTTGGGGGAGCGGCTGACCTTCTTCTTTGGGGAAACAGCCTGGCCGGGCTCAAACACGCCCTCCTGGGCGCGACGGTCGTACTGCTGCTTCTGGTAGCTCTGAGTCCGCCTCAGGTTGTCGCCGGGCAAACTTGTGGGCCCGCGTGAGCTTTGCTCTCAGCTCGTCGATGTAATTTAGTACCTTGGTAATCTCCGTCCTTTCCTCCGGTGACCCCACAACGACGTCCAAGGGGAAGTCCCACCTCCCACCCGAGCATGTTCAGGGTGAGCCTTGTGCTATCGTGTTCAGAGGAGCAGTAGGCCATCAGGACGTAGGGAAGAAGTTCGTCCCAGTCGTCCTGATTCTCATCCACAGACATGCTCAGCGTAGTCTTCAAGGCGTGATTGAACCGTTCGACCATGCCGTCAGACTTGGGGTGGAACGGAGTCGTCCTGGTCTTGTGGATGCCCAACAGCTGGCAGACCCTGCGGAAAAGGCCCGCCTCGAACTCCCTTCCTTGATCCGTGTGGATCTTGAGGGGTGTTCCTAAGCGCGTGACCACCTGCTGCACGAGGGTCTTGGCCACAGTCTCGGCCGTCTGATCTGGAAGGGGAAACGCCTCCACCCATTTCGTGACGGATGTGATTTACCAGACCACTGCTTAATTTACAACTAGTCTGGCCAACAACTGGGGCATTGGTCATTTTTTTAGGAGATCCCATCATGCACTGGAAGAGGTTATTCAAAGTCATTCTACAAATTGTTAAAGAGGTGTTAAAGTTTTTTAAGGAGATTCTTGTACCCAGAATGCAATTGTACATACCAGCAATAAAGGCAGAGACCCCAAGAGTCAAGACTGGTGTCCTGACATATACGTCAGGAATAGCTACCAGGTCAAAGGTCAGTAGTACCGGAAATGTGTGTATTGTTTATGGCTATGTGTTAACATATAGGAATGAGTAATTCCCTCTTGGACCCGTTTAGGAAACCCGGAGATTTCCTGAACCAGCAGTGTTGCCATGGCAACGCGTCTGCGCATGCGTCATTGTGCTGTCACAATGGAGTCTATGACGTCATCGACATAATCAGTCAACTTTTGGTCTAGTTTCCTGTCACCTCTTCTTTTCAGATCTTACATGTGCGATTAACCGCACATGTAAGATCTGAAAAGAAGAGGTGACAGAACCGCACATGTAAGATCTGAAAAGAAGAGGTGACAGGAAACTAGACCAAAGTTGGTAGACTTATGATGAATATATATGAGCATGGTGCGTCTGCGTATAGAACAAACATTCTGACATGTATATAAAGGGGAACGTAGAGGGCGGTCACATTTTGCCTATTGACACCGTGCAGTGAGGACCTTGTCGTTTTGTGCTCTGGAGGATTTAACGTGCAGAGAATAGCTACCAGGTCAAAGGTCAGTAGTACCGGAAATGTGTGTATTGTTTATGGCCCATTGGTTTGTGTATACATCGAGAAAGAGCTGTGACGTCACTTCCGGATTCTAAAAATAGCCGGGTCTCCTAAACGCCCCCAATAGACGGAAAATCATTCCTATAAATAGATCATGACATCATACTTCCTAAACTATTTATAGATGCATAGATTGATTTCGGAGAACCTATGTATGGTTGCCATAGCAACCATGGATGCATTATGACGTCCTCAATGATGTCATAATGGATCTTAAATGTAAAATATACACGGGATGCGCGCGCTTGCGCTTCTATTTTTTAGGTGGCTACAATCGGTTACGATGGATACAACGTATCAAGTACATAAATTCATTGATGTTTTGTGTTACAGAAGGCTCAAGCAATGCTCAATGCGTATCTTCGAGTCAAACTCATAGACTGTTACCCGGCATCATCCAGAACCCCATACCCGCCAAACCTAAAGACAATTATCAGAACTTGTTTTATTACTCCGGCATTATTTATAGGAGTAATTGGCACGCAGACGCTCAATTGAGCGTCGTTGAACGAATTGTCAATGATTCTTGTATGGATTACCAGTGGCAATTATTTGAGCACGATCCAGCTTTGGGGGGTACCAAATGTAAACAGGAGGGACGTCATTACCACCTGTTAGTAGCCACCCATGCGGAGCAAAAAAATTGTTATCGGATGAAAAAGCTCAGTAGGGCTCTCAAGAGTCTCTGCATGGAAATTACCATGCAAGCCGTGAAAAACCCGGCATCCATAGTGAGTTATCTCTGCATACCCCCTAGAAAAAAAGTAGCGGAACACATGCCCATTCATTGGGATGATAGGGTGGCACTCTTCAAAATTGAGCCCACTGCACAAGAAATTGAAGAAATGCGACTCCGCAAAATTGCGGAGAGGGGTGCCATGCGACCCCCTAGACCAGATCCGGACCGTGCTCCTCCCCCAGAGGGATTAGATGAGATGACAGAGTTGGAACTCATCAAATATCTGATTGATAAATATCGGCCCAAGAGTTCTAATGACTTTATTTATAGAGCTATGAGGTTTGAGGGGTTTGTGGTGGCTGGAAAGTTGGAACGGGCCTACTTTACCCATAATTGGGACCTTAAATTTAGAAAGGCCCTGGCCTTGAGCCAAAATACCCTCAATGATGCAGACCTGTCAGAGTTGACTCGGAGGTGGAAAGAGGCTAACCCCATGGGAAGCTTCAAGTATCTCAGCATTGAAGAATCGGCACAAGTGATCAGAGATTGGTGCACGTATCAAGACCTACTTTTAGAGTTATTAGTGGAAGATGTAGCTCGCATCATTGATAAGCGATTACCTAAACTGAACACCTTGGCCTTGATTGGTGCTAGTAATGCAGGGAAAACCTGGCTGGCCAATAGTTTAGGGGAACTGTGTGTGCATACAGGGGAAATCACCTGTGGTAGCTCGGGATACGCCTTCTTATGGTCGGAATGCCCAGACAAACGCCTTATCATATTAAATGAGCCGTATCTCGATCAATCCATCATCGAGAAAGCCAAAATTGTCCTAGAGGGATCCGAAACCATGGTACCCGTAAAACATCAAAAAGAAGCGTTTCTGAGACGCACCCCCGTCATTGCCACCACCCACCATGATCTTTGGAAATGGGCCCCGTTGGAACAGGAGGCTATTGAAAATCGCTGTCTGATTTACCGCAGTTTGAAGGCGTGTCCTATGCTAGCACGTGTGACCAAGAAATGCCATCCTTGTGTGTGGGAGTATCTCATCAGTCAATTACATGATGATGACATTAGTATTAGAAACGAGACCAGTCGTGGGGAAGGAGCCAGTCAAACCAGTATCAGACATCCCCCCCGGCAGAGTCAGTTCGTCATGTACAAGCTCATCGGGAAGCGACAGTCCGATTCCTCCGACACCATCGGCTCCGATGAGAAACCCACCCCTGCACCTGTCGCCGGGCCACCAACGAGTCCTCAAGAAGAGGAAACTGTACAACAGTCAAACCGAGACAGACGCAACACCCACAGGCGTCTCCAAAACCCAGTCACCCAGCAAAGCCACCGTCCTAAGCCCACCACTACTGAGCCCACAGAGAAGTCCTGGAACCTTTGATTATGATACGTGGTCATGGAAGAGTGGAGTGGTACCCAAGATGGATGGCATTGAACGTCTCCATATAAGCACAGAGTCTATAGAGAGCAGCTAATTACCGGACACAGTACTCTTAACAACACCTGTCTTGGTAGAAGACACCTTTGACCCGCCCACGCCACACTATTCACCTGCTGAGTTGATTGACACCTACACCATCAAAGATTCCTTGGATCAAGAAGAGGAGGTCATTACAATCTCTTCTGACTCGAGCGACCCCGTCTCTGGTGATGTGAAACAGGCTATGGAAGAGGCACAGGAGGTGTTGGAGGCCATGACAGCAGAAGAGAGATACCCCCCCATCCACGTACGAAGTCTGGGACCAGCGTACACGTTCACCCACCGCCTGGGACAACATTGGTTGGGTGCGAGATCCACTGTATGGATACCAAGCTATTTACCACAATGATTTATAAATCTACTAAATTATTAACAAGTGTATAAGTTGTTTAGGAGATGTTATAACCCCCAAGTCTGTGTTAATTTCGGGGGGAGTACCACTGGATTGTAAAACAGATACAACACAACAATGAGAGACCCCCGGTCAGAACATATGTATTCCGGTGGGGATGGAACCCAAAACAGGTATCTGAGTGAGTTATTGAAAAAGATGGAGTTAGTCGGTGGGCGTGGTATATGGGTCACGTGACCCACGCGTACTTTAAGCGTGCGTTGGGGAACATCAATAGGCGCACATGCAACTCTATATAAATAAGCCTGTGTTTGTGTGGACTCTGTCAGAACATGCATCTCTTACGTGAGGTTCTCTGGTGTATGACGCTGGCGCAAACGGCGTGTCTTCTCGTGTTTCATGTCAAGCAGGTGGCGATACCTCTATTACGAATGTGTACTACGTCGTGGCAGCATTGACTCCCAACGGAGAAGGACCCGGACGAGAGGTGTATTGTAAAGACGAAGTGGACATACCACAAGATCCAAACGCACCCAGCAATGATGCCTGGGATAGAAATATGATGAAGTCGTGGCCGTTGACGTCAGGAGGACAAATAAATGTGTGTTACTTGGACGGAACATGTCATCCATTTTACGTGAAACGGAAAAGGTACATGTACTGTGATTACCAATGCAGTGTATGCAATCTGCATTACGATCCATCAACCAATACCATACAAACCGGTCACGTCCAAAAAACCAGATCCTACCTCCAGGGAGAAATCAATCGAAACCTCATTGACTACGGTGACCGGCTATGGGAAACCATCTATCGCAAAGATGAAAACACACCGCCTCCCAATGGATACGGCTATATAGAATGGTCCAGCGACGATCTAGGGCGATAGATGGAAGACAAGTTGGAAGTACTCAAGACGTCTTGGTACTATACAGAAGAGGCAGAACGGTTTCGTGACATCTATAGTGCACAAGGGGCACCATGGCAACCACTCACCTATATAACCTATTATACCGAAGACCCCGGAGAAGAGAGTCGAGACGCACCGGTGGATCC